CTCTTCTGACCTGGAGAGGCGCAGGACTCATCGTCCTGAACAATCAAACAGCAGCTTTGTTGGAGTCGCGTGTTCTCCTGGGATCACGCCCACACACGGATCTCTGAGGTTTCAAGTCCTGCGAGCTGGATTCATAGCAGGTTATGATGCTGAGTGTGACTGACAGCTGGACGCGCCGCGATGGGTCCTGATGTTTGAACACACAAACAGCTGTAAGTGCATCGGGATGCAGGACATCCTGTGAACGTGAGGCGAGCTCGTTAAACCAGCGAGTTTACAGTCGAGTTTCCCAGAGGTGAGCCCGACGCGCCTTACATCGATCAGTGAGGGCCGTTAGACATCTGTGATCCCTGTGGCGCTCGCAGCAGACTGCCGCCGCCTCAGCCCTGACTGCCCCTCCTGTGAGGTGATGTCACCGAGTGCCCCTCGTCAGCAGGCTCCCAGCCGTCGATCCTCGATCGCTGCTGTTACGCCGTCGAGGCTTAAAGGCGAAGGTGTCCGTGGTCCGGCCATCAGGACCGTGACCTATGACCGACCTAACGCTCACAGAATCACTTCCTTTAATTCACTTCTAAAGAGTTTGAGTTTGCGGCGTGACGGCTTTACGGTCTGCCAGGACTCTGATTGACGGCGAGGAGACGCGTGGGGTCTGTGTGGACGTGTCCGAGCTAATATCCATCAGACTGAGCGTTGTTTACGGGCACCATCTTTCATTTTAGCGCTTTCTCAGAGGCGTGTGTCGGAGGCTGTTCGTCTTCCCCTGAAGTCAAACATGGACTCCAGTGAGCCAAAGCTCATAAACGCCAAACCGCAGGGCGAGCTGTGTTTACAGCACACACCGACCCGTTTACAAGTGCAACACTCGGCTGTTAATGAGTGTGTAATCGCCTCCTCCTGCTTTTACAAACTCGAGCAGAAGCTTTGTGTGCCGTCGCTCGTTTACGGTCAGCGGCTCGTTAAAGCGCCGCGTCCACCCACAGACTGCAGCGAGGCTCCGCCGCCACAGCTGCAACGACTTTCCGGGTCCGAGAGGAACGACTCTGAGACTTCAAAGCAGCGAGGGCCTCCGCGGCTCAGCAGGAAGCCCTGACGCTGACCCCACCCCCCCGGCTTCCGACTGTCAGGGGTCAGAGGGCGGCAGGACACCTCCACCCATCCATCAGCATCAGCAGCTGTTTACAGCCTCAGAGCTGCAGATGTGGGTGGAAGAACGAGTGCTGCTCCCGCACACACACACACACGCACGCACACGCACGCACGCACGCACGCACGCACACACACAAAATCCGAGCCGCACCGCACAGGAAGTCTCTCTAATAACGCCATCAGACATCAAACGCCCCTAATGGGAAATCTACCTTCACCTCCATCTGGTCCCGGCGTCTCCTCCCAGACTCCGTCCATCATCGTGTCGCCCCTCCCCCCGCCCTGAGTGTACAGTCTGATGTTCGGCGCCACAGAGTGAACAAATGGAGAGCATTAACGTGAGCGTGATTGTGTTCACGACCACACAGAGAAACGCTCCGTGTGAACGCGGCCTCATCATCATCATCATCATCATCATCATCATCATCATCTGTATTAACAGGTTTGATCCATCATCGATGTCTGACTGAGCTCATCGCGTAGGTCAGCGTCAGCAGATGAATCCTGACTCCTTCATCCCGCCAGAGCGTCAACTCTGATGACATCATCAGCTAACTGACCTGTGGCTAACTTACGGCTAGCAGGCTGGTCGTCATCCTCGCTATATGAACCTATAACACGGAGGATCAGGCAGAAACGCAGCCTGGTTTTATGCGAGGGTGGTGAACACGCCATGTCCTGCGTCCAATCACAGGAGAGCTTAGAAGGACCCTCAGATAAACGTATTGTACTTCCTGTCCTTGAGCACAGGATGCAGCAGCTCCTTCAAACACATTTTATCCACGTGAAGCCGCTTCGGGATCTGGGGTCAGCGTTCGTTAGGAAACCTTTTGTGATCAGAGGGGCTCCATCACCGGCGGGGCTCTGGGGCTTTGCTCAAAAACAAAGGCCTCTGTGAGGGGAGGCAGCCTCACCCTGCAGTGAAAACATCATCCATTACCTCCGTGACAGGCCCTCCGGGGCCCCGCCCTGTGCGGGGGTCGCCTTTATTGACCTCTCACCCCCTGCCAGCCTCGAGCGTTCAGAAACGGTGCCGCATGTGGCCTCATACATCACACGGCGTCCTTTCTTCCCTGACAGCAATAAGAAGAACAGGGTCATGTTGGGGCCAAAAACATGGCCGCAGTCACACGCAGACCGCCGTGTAAAACCCAGAGTGGAGCTCAGGCCTGTCCGTCTGTTAGCGACATCACAGCAGCCACGTTACTGGTCACATGATGTCATCGAGAAACAGCACAAACACAAAATGTGTTTACTGAGAACGACGCGAGAAAGTGACACACTGATGAACGTCTTTGTTTCCTGTGATGATGATGATGATGCTGCAGCCGTCATGTAGGACGGCGTCTGGCAG